CTCAAGAATATTATTATGTCATTAAATACCTACATACTGTATTCTGTGTTTAATATAACTGGCAGAAAAAAATCCTAAGGATTCTTTTCTTGATTTCATTACAAGAGCCAAGGCACCTCTCTGCTGATAGTACTTGCTTACATAAAGGACTGGTTCCAACAGACATAAGCATCATTCATGCCTTTTGCTTCCTGCATGCAACCTTTTCTAATTCAGCTTTGCGTTACATGACAGTTTTCTTTGTTTTAGGCCCCATGAGTAGACAAATGCCAACAACAGGAGCAAACATTTTAGTGAAAATGAACGCTCACTATTCCTTAGTATAAAACCAGTTAGTTTTATGAGTTTGTACTTCCAGTGGGTAATAGTTATTAAATACAGTTTGCTCTGGAGCCTGACATTTGATCAGCTGCATGAGAACATTAAGTGCTGTGCTCTTGCCAAATCTCCTAGCTTACCTTTTTTGTGTATCACATGCCAAACAGAAGAGCATAAAGCAGTAGGCTGGGACAGGGACCTGGCTTTGGCACACTGGATTGCAGTGCCTTTCCCACTCTTTGACTCTACTGCTCTTCACCCATAATCTTAAGATTTTGATTAGGACTGTGGAAGGAGTCAAAAAATTTTTTTTCAGTTTGCTAAGAAAAATGTGATTTGACTATATATTGGTATTTTCAGCAAGATACCAGAAGGGCAGACACAAGAATAAAGGTTTATTAGAAGGGAAGTCAAGGTAGCAGGAATAAGTAGAGGATCTGTTTGTAAGACAAGGAGAAAGTAAATCTTGGAGGAGATTTTTGCATTTACTGATCCAATGAATGAGCACATCTTTCTCCTAGATACGTGTGTGGCGATGGAGAGAAACAGAACAACCTGCACATACTCCTGGTGTGTGTCTGAAGTAACAGTGTAGCTCGCTGATATATGATAGTGATATGGTAGAGTGACAGCTCACTGTAGAAAAGCATAACTAATATATAACCAAGTAGTAGTGGAAGAACTATTGGGAAATTTGCTTTACTCTGGTTTACCTTTTGGCACATGTCTTAAAAAAACCTAAGAACTTAATAATTTTAATATGGTTTAAACTGGTAGTTATAACTGTAAGTTATCTATGCTCAGATTTTCTTCAGTTCCAAGCGTAAAGTTGAAAAAATTTTCAATGAAGAGACAGAATACTGTTTCTAAATTTTAAGGCTTTTAATTGAAGGAACATAGTTTAGAAAGCAGAAATTAAGAGTCTGGAAGAAAACATACATACATAGCGATTTTCCATACCTAATGAAATCTTGGAATAGAAGATGGCCCTTTCTATTACGGAATATGGCTCAACATGCAATTTTTCTTTGAATCATTCTGTATTGATCTAGCTGTTGAATTTTTGAGCCTTTCCAGTATATAGTAGTTCTGAGTAAGCTTCATATGTCACATTTCCATTCTAATTGTGGGGAAAGAGTTGTCTAATGGATTCAGCTGCATCCAGTATAAGAGAGGCAGATTACATTCAGTAATTTTGGCATTTTAAAAATAAGGTACAAAATGCTATTGTAGAGTACTTCAAAGTGCATGAAAGATAGTCTGGAAACTGTCCAAAAATTTGTTCCAGGAAGTCACTGAGATTGTAAAAATAGCTTTAACATTTCTAGGGTATACTTTGAAGCTGCAAACATTGGTCAGCCTGAGGCTAATAAAGGAAAACTGATCTTGTTTGATTTGTCAGTCTAGGTAATAATGATAATGTCTGGAGGAAAGACGGGAGGTCCTCATTTGTTAAGACCCATGAACATGGCCTGTCTGTGTTTCTCGTCAATGGCCTCTAATTAATTTCAGTTCAGGCAATACCCATCATAAACTTTTAACTTTTGTGTATTTGCTGTACTACAAATCCACTTTTATGCTGTCCCACAAGCCTGGAACTTTGTCTTGCCTACAGCATCCATGTGTCCTTCCCAGTTTGTTTTTTTTTTTTAATCCCTTCTTGTAGCCACTTCTTCAAAGAGCTGAGTGGATATTAATAACATTACATTATCTTTTAACCTTCCTGCGCTCTCTGGAAAACATTCTCTTTGTTTATTTTTTCCCCTCAATCTATTCAGATTTCTGTCTATTTTCATTAGCTTTGAAGAAGATTGTGCTAATTATATTTGTAAGTCACCTTAACCAGTAAAGTGTCATGGTTTCCATACATGTTGAATTCTGAAAAACTGGGGCTATCTGTAGTACCAGCAAATGTGCCAAATGTCTTGAGCCTGTGATGTTTAATACGTCTGTGCCCTGGCAAAGCTGTGAGAGAAGTTTGATGACCACAAAAACGGCCACACATACGTAAATCTGTTGAATTTAAAACTGCAGTCTCTCTCTGAAGTTGTTTTCTCTCCTCTGACTCAGCTTTTCAATATGTTTTTTTCTTGGTAAGAATTACCAGGTACAAAAGAAAGAAGAATTTGGAAAGATAAATAGAGCAGATATCCAGATACCGAACAAAGCTATTTAGCACAAAAGGAAGATGCTCAGGCCTCAGGGTTGCTCTTCAGCAGTGTAAAGTGTAGGTGCCCAGCTGTCCCACCCAATGTCCCACACATTCACAGTGTCATATGGTCAACCTGCCCTGTTGAGAACCCTGGGCTTACAGTCCTGTGATCAGATGCACATTGGCAAACCTCTGGTCTAATACTAAACTCTTTCTGGAGTCAGGAGAGGACACCCATAGAGATGCAAATCTTCACCAGTGCAGATCCTGACTGCAGAGTGGGAGATAAGACTGCATGGCATAAGATGTGATGGCAGAAAAAAACTGGAGGTTTTAGAGGGGAAAAAAAGACTATGCACAAGACTGAGTCAGAATATCACAGGGCAGTGTAAACCTGGTTTTGATAAGACTTGCCCTTTGTTGGAACATCAAAGTCAATAGGTCCTCAAATGATGCAGTTCGGAGAACCAAGCACAGGAACCAGAAAATGGCTTTGTTACAGATAATTTCAGTTTTAAGTAACTGTAACATTTTATTAACTTTCTAACATCAGAAAATAAGCAGGCTGTTGGATGCATGGAAATACACGCACACCATAACTAAATCGACTTATTTGAACTTCCATATCTCATTTTGAAAAAGCAGCAAACGTGTATTTGTATTCTTCTGCTTTGATATGTTAATCCATTATTCAGCAGCATTTGGATGCACAACTGCGCAGTAGCTTAGTGGGGATTCAGTATAAATTTAGAAATGTTTCCTGCAGACAAAATTCAAAATAATAGAAGTGGGTAGGCTGTACTTGTCTATAGATACACAGCTATAGCCATAGGTATATAGTTGCCTATAGCTACAGATATATAGCTGTATAGATTTAAATAGACAGATCTATTTATCTATATAGCAGTTATGCTTGTATTTACATACATGGGATGGGAGAGAGAGAGAGAATATGGGCACAAACTGAAACAGAGGAGGGTCCCTCTGACCATTATGAAACATTTTTTCACTGTGAGGGTGACCAAGCACTAGCACACGTTGCCCATGGTGGTTGTGGAGTCCCCATCCCTGGAGATACTATGTCCAAACATAGTCCTGGACAGCCTGTTCTAGGTGGCCCTGCTTGAGCTGGGAGGTTGGTCCAGATGACCTGAGGAAGTCCTTTCCCACCTCAACCATTATGTTATTTTCAGCATTCACCATAGTAATAGGATCCCTATTGCCATTGTGTAAAAATTACACAGGTTTTAATCAGGTGGTCCTTTCAGTGTCCTGTGAGTTAGAGCAAGAAGTTGGACTAATTTGTTTTTGTAAAATGCATCAGCATCTTACAGGTGGGAAGTGAAGGCTGAAAGTTTTCAAGTGGGCCTGCTTAAGAGATGGCATTTGGTTCATTGATTTCTTTGGCTTCTTTGGAAATTCCAACTTTTGCATAGACTGTGGAGCCTGAGATTATAAATCAGAGGAAGCAGAGAAAGAGAAGAATTTTGATTTCCAGGTCCCAAGTGAATACTCTGAGCTTCTTCTAGAACTTTTATGTTGCCAAGTAATGCATAAACTTGTAAAATCTCCTCTTAAATGTGATTTCAAAGCAGCTCATTTAAATAAGCAAAAAATTGTAAGAGTAAGAACTCTGGAATGAACATGTTACAGGAGTGTGAACTGGCAGACTTATGCTAGATAGCTTTATGTGCCTATATTCTTCTTCCTTGGACCTTCCCTAATTTTTTTTAAGCCAGCTGGGCTTAAAACAGCACAGCCAGTGTAATGCTGTTTCTTTCAGGTGGGAGAATAAAACACTGTTGAACTAGCAAGCCCAAAAATAATACACTTAAATGAAAATACACAGTTATGGTAAGCGTTGATTAAATTTATGTGATAGGATTATTTTTCCTGTTTTAATTTCGGTTTGATAGCTAGACCTACGGCAAATGAAAAATTGGAAGTTGTATTTGCAAAGAGAAAAAATTTTTTTTTCAGTTCTTCTGTGTTCAGTAATAGAAATTTTCTACTTAACGGTATTATTTTTGTCACAGGTTTAGTCAATTTTATCTAAACCTGTTTTCAAAATTGTTACAGAAATTTTTCACATGCAGTATTTTTGCTGAAGGCAACATGGAACATAATTCAAGAGTTATACTGAAATTTATTTCCAAGAAATTAAACATTATATTGGGAAATAAATAGTAAAGTACATCAGTGTTGTAAAACTACTTTGTCTTGGACTGTAGACAGATCAAAGTGTACATTAAAAATAAGAAATTAGTTTAGAAGGCAATAGTGAAGCTTAAAAACCCAAATTTTGCGTTAACTGCAAATGTAAGACCATTTTCACATGAAATAATATATACCTTTGAAAAAATGATATGTACCTTTGAAGTTAATTAGAAATCTTCTTGCCTTTTAGTATTCATCATCTTGTTTCTTCCATGTGAAGCAACTGTGACTCAAATTGCAAAGTTGAAAGCAGAGTTTTAAGGATTCTATTAGGTAATATCTTTGTACCTCTACACTCTTCTCCCCCCCCTAGAGACTATGAAGAAGATATTTCAAGAAAAGGGGATCTTGGCAGGAGAAGAAAGAGCTTTTCGACCCCATCTGACCTTCATGAAGTTGTCAAAATCAACAGAGCTACGTAAGCAGGTGAGCTCACATTTCACGTAGATCAGCAGCAATCTAGAAAGTTTAATTTGGAGATGCACAAAGGTGCTGCTTGTGCTGTAGCATCATACTTTCTACTTTGTAACCAGCTGAAGAGGTAAGACTTCAAAAATACTTATTTAGGAAAAATAATGTAGTGCATCTACTATATAAAGATTAGTCCTGTACTGTAAGTTATCACTCTTGATATTCTCAGTACATTAATATCACAGTCTGTTTTCTGTTGTGAAATTAGGCAAGACCAAAGGCTAAAAGTACTTGTTAAAGATTAGAGGACTCTAATTAGGGTGTAGTTTGTACAAATGTTGTTTATTTGCAAAGTTTTGTTTCTATATAGGAGAAAACAAGCAAGTAAACAGTGAAATTTCTGTTTAGATTATGCATAATAGGTAGACTGTCATTTCCCTCTACTGAGTATGCTTTGGTGAATTTCAGAGTGGCGAGGAAACACATCTTCTATATTCTCTCTTGCAGGCAGTTATTTCTTGCTTATTTATTAGCTTTTTTTGGACAAAATACAGAAATACATGAATGTAGATTATAACTGTCATAAAAATATATAGAAGCAATACCAGTGTAGCTGTTTTTTATTGCATACTAATTTAACTATAATACTGTATTTTATTATCTAACATAAGGTATATCTCCATAAATTTTTTTTGTTGACATTGTGCAGAATGTTTTATGTGATCCTTTACCATTGTCTAGGAAAATAAATTTCAGAAAAAATATTTTAAATAGGAATTAAATTACATAATATTTAATATTAAGTAGTAGTCTGAAATCAGTAGGCAGAAGGCAACGAGATTTCAGATACATAAGAAATTTCAAGGGCACACATACTTGCTCTAAAACAGAAATAAGAACTTATCCACAGGAAGCAGGTGGCATATTATAGATATTAAATTTGTAGGCTCACATAAGCTTTTGGTTGTATTAACAGTTTTTTAAAAAGCACTAATTTTAAAAATCCACAGCTCTTCTAGAATATCAGCGGTTCAGTAATTTCACTGTTTAGTTTAAACATCAAAGACAGTCAGGGTGGGGTTTTTGCCATTCTGTTTTCTGGTTGTTTTTTTGGCTGGTTCTTTGTTTCATTTATATTTATCTACCTTCCATGAAATATTGGCCAGGATGCGTACTTTCTGTGTTATGATACTCAGTGCTGCTGACAGAACCAGGTCAATGTCATTCCAAATCATCTTCCTTAGCCCTCTATAATGCTGGATAATGCGTATGGTATTCTAAAGATATACTGCATAGAAAGATACTATGTATTAAAAATCTGTAAATTTTTCTCTGTCAATTTAGTGTCAGGCATAAACATTAATCTTTACTATAATTTTTTGTTTCATTGAGTACATGCATTTAGTTATATAATTTCATGCATTTACTGAAAGCAGTAAATACAAATATGAAACATTTGTATTTTGAGATTATACAAGAATATGAAAAGCAAGGAAGGGGGAATGAATGAAAATTACATGTGAAAGCATATGAAAGACCAAATAGTAGTAAAGTGGTTCAGTACAGTTCTCAACTATATAGCTTTATAACTGTTAGTTTTAAATGTAAGTTTCCTTATTGGAAGCAATATTCTTCTAAGTCACTCTCCTTACAATGACATCTAAATTCCACCAAATTTATCTTTTTTGGGGAAAAAAACCACCTGTTTTTAAAACTCTAATACAGCTTTTGGCTGTTTGAAATGCATTTATTCTGAAAAGATTTTAACTTCCCTAGAGTTAAAAATATATTTACAAAACAAGGAGTTTGAGAATTCAGAACTAGGAAAGATCTCAAGAAATAAGCTTTTCACTTTGAAGGCACAGCATTAAGCTAGAAATGGTAAATGCAAAAAGCTTGGAAACAGGTTATTAATAAAGGATAAATGCATAAAATAAAGTTGAGCTACCTGGTTTACTGTACCCCTCTCAGCTTCTTAGATTAAATGACTTATCTACCTACTCAGAAGTGGGAGCAACCCATTCTTCATGCTTAGTTGGACATTCCTGAGATCAGATGTGCCACTGAAAGCTTCCCAAAATCAGCTTCTAGCTGTCCTTGTGGAAGGAGATAAAGAGATATAATTTACTTGCACATGTTTAGCTATTTCCAGAATTATTTGAATGATAAGAATCTTGGGTTAGTATCATTATCTTCTATGCAAAGAACCTAATGAAACACAATGAAAGAAGTAACTGGAGTTTTGCACTTGAACATAACATTTCTATTTCTGCTTCCCTCACTTGCCTGTTAAGTTGCTGCAGGTCAGTCACAACCCCTCTGTTTTTCATTTGTCCAGATTCCTGTTTATTTCAGGGTGTGCTGTGAGGCACACTTCATAAATGCTGTATGATGTTTGGAGGTCCTTTGATACCTAGTGCTGCCAGAACTGCAAACACTGTTAAATGAATTTCATAAGTAGAAGATGACTGACAGCTAAATTGGTCTGATGGCATCTGCTTAATTAGTACAGAGTATATACTTAGCCTAGACAGTGGCTGACAACAAAAAACGCAAAAAATATAATTTATGAATCTTTAGTATATTATATTCTTTTCTATGGTGTACTTTTAGAATGCTGTATGCACAGATAGTAAAAGAGAATATATTAGTGAGAAAACACTTGTGAGCATTCTACAAGGCCTGATTCACCGTTACCGTTCAACTTCAATGGTAACATCATTGAAGTTGCTAGGTATTATTTTACAGACAGTATTACTGTGAGTGCACTGGAAACAGCATTAAATGCATGATTCAGTAAGTTATTATTGTATTTTTTAATGTAAATTATGTTAAACTTTTGTCACTTTCCAGTTTCGTACAGAAATAACGTAAGGTGCTTATTTTGTAGTAATAAGTTTTCTTCACCACCAAGGAGGAAATTACATACTAAACCAAACTCAAAGCAGTGTCTCCAGCTTCAAAAATTTTTGATGTGTGCTCACATTCATCTTTTTGCTATCTTCAGCTAGACATACTTGATAACACGCTTAAGACTTATAATTATGAAGGGAATTAATTTTTTGTCATGTAAATTTTCTCATAGTTTATGTGACATTAATATTTTTGTCTTCTTGAAATCACATATAGCTGTGTGTCTGCTGATGTTTTTATTAACTATAATATAAGCAGTTAGAGCAAGTATGGGCAGACAATAAGCTGTCACTTCTTATTTACATGAGGAATGTCACCTCACTGCAGGAAAGGTTATTACTTCAATAGTAGATATGTTCTTGGGTCATTAATCTGTTTAATATATTTTTCTTGCATGTGCATACATTCAGTACTGTGTTCAATAAAGATCTGCCTGACAAGAGAAGTGAAAGAGAATCCTCCCTTCTGATACTTTATCTCTAATGTTAAGTTTTAGTTTATACTTAGAATAGAAAATGCGAATTTCTCTCTTACGTTCCTAGATTTATAATTTTGAATTTATTTATATCTATGTGGTGTAGACACACAGTTGTGTCATGCAGGACCTTAGAAAAGAGAGTGATTTTCAGGAAAACCAAAGCATATCTCAGTTCCTGGTGATTCTGACCTCCAGCATTCTTTTTATAATAATTGCTGGGATCTCTGGCATTTTGAACAGAAATGCTTGTATAAGAAAAGCCACTGAGCTCATTAAATCCCTCTGTATTTTCATTTATCAGCCTCTTTGTCAGTGGTTTGTATTGTGACAACTGTTACTTGCTGTTACGAGAGTCAGAGGCACATATTTATTTGGAATCTTTGATGCTGATCCTAAAATGCTGAAATAATCACTTTGGCACAACACAAAACAATAAAGCCTTTTGTTTTTACAGTCTTCTAAGACTTTACTACAGACAGTTTGTTAAAAGCTCAATGTACTGTGATAGCGAGCATTCTTTAAATTACCAAACTTTCCTACTGAACATAGGGGATAAGGTGCAATCTGTGCATTTACACATACCTGTTAAAGGACTGAGGCTGCAGAAGGTAGCACCTCCTTACTCATGAACTCTTCCAAGTCCACATGGGGATCATCAAGGTCTAGGCAAAGAAACTTTTCTACAACAGACTTGCATTTTTCCATCCGATCTCCTTTTGAAGGATGATCAAGACATTTGATAGGTTTTCCGTTGCGAATCAGTTCTGATATTTCCACTCCTCTTTCAATAATTTTGGCGGGCATTCCTGCTAATGCTGCAATGTTGGCAGCATGACTAACAGTGGACATGCCCTCTTTGATCTGATAGAAAAATATCAACTCATCTCCATCTTGGTGGGTCTCCATGGTCAGATACTCCAGAAGAGGTGTGTCAGGCAGGAGTTCTAGCTGCATTAAACTGTGAAAATTAGTGGAGACGAAGACCTGTGGACACTGCGTTCCTTGTCTGATCCAGTACCTCAGGACAGCAGCCAGAAGGGACAGGCCATCCATTGTGTTTGTCCCTTTACCAAACTCATCAATAAGTACCAGGGACCTCTCTGTGGCATTGTTTATGGCCTTGGCAACCTGGTTAAGATCAATCATGAAAGTGGAGAGCCCTACAGAAACCGATTCCCTACTGTGGATTCTTGTGTAAATGCCATCAATTACTCCAATCTCTGCCTCTGCTGCAGGGACATAACTGCCAATTAGAGCCATAAATACTATAAGACCTACTTGCTTTAAGTAAACACTCTTTCCAGATGAGTTGGGCCCTGTGATGATCTTTATTCGCCTGGTAGCCTCACCACTGTTCACTGGATTGGCAACGAAAGTCTTTGCACATAGTTCCATGAGTGGATGTCTTCCGTCCTTGATGTGGAAGCCGTGGCGGTGAGTAAAGTGAGGTCGGCAGTAGGCGTTCTCCCGGGCCATCGCTGCCAAAGCTAGGAGCACATCCAGGTGTGCAGTGTACTCAATCACACTGTTAAGGACTTCAGACTTCTCCAAGATCTTTGTCTGCAGCTGGTGCATGATAAGTGTTTCCTGGTCTCTGACCTCAGAGTGCAAGTCACCCAGCAGG